ATATTTACTTGAATTAGGTACCTAGCATATATATTAATTTTTTTTTTAGATATATTCATGTGTAAATCAATTAACTGTCAAATCAGACTTACACTACATCAATACAGACTTACACTACACTGGCAACTTTAAACTATTCATGCACTGGAAGCGGTAACCAACGTACTCTTACATTTAGAAGAGTGAATATGGAACGTCTAAATATTTTGATATGGAGAGTGGAGAGTGTATATGTCTTTGACGTCATCGATACTATTTCCGCCTTTATCTCGAAAGTTCTATTCTCACTTACAAGTCAGAGTTATCTTTCTTTGCCCATTGTTTACACACTAGGTAAATAGGGAAAATGAGGGTACCGAAAATCTGCAAAATGTGGAATCTGATTTCAAAACAAATTATATATTTAGTATTTGTAGAATAACCTCTGTTATACATAATAATATCTTGAAAAAATATTAAAAAACAAAAAAGTTGAAAATTGACCAAACGCAAGTTCACTTCCGGTTCGGACAGGAAGTACCGGAAACACACGAAAACAACTTCGAAACAAAGACAATGTCATGATATAATACTCCTGTAAATTTCACATCTTTACCTCAAACCGTTTCCGAGAAAAATTCCGGACAAAAGTCCATTTAAAAATTGGAAATTCGGCCGTAACTTCGAACCGGAAGTGAATTTTTCAAAAAACGGAATTTTATATAAACTTCATATATCGGCCTACTATCATGTGAAAAATTGTGAAAATCTATCCAACCATTTCTGAGTAATCGCGCTCACAAAATTTGGGAGGAATAATAATAATAATAATAATAATAACTAGACTCTTGTTGCCATGGCAACAAAAAAGTCTTCCGTTCTTCTAAATCTGTAAGAATTTGCTTTTTTCTGTGTAAAAAACATACATATAATATTTACCGTGAAAGAAAAAAATAACTGGAAAAAAGTCCTTTCAGTACTTAAGGTACTTTGATTTTCATTATCAATCTTGTATAATACATTTGGCACCTATAAGAGATATACGTATATCATTAGCAATTTAAAAAAAAAATGTTTGCAATCATTTCTAAGACAAACAAACAGACGAACGAACATCGTACTATCATAAACTTCACTGTGTGTATGTTTTGGCATAATTGTGATGGTGTTATAAAAAAATATAATGAATTAATTTAGTATCACATTAAACGTAAAGTCACTGAGTTTTGTAAAGTTATAATATCAAGATTTGACAACATACCTATAAGACAAATTATTCAATTACAGTAATTCTTCAGCAATCGATTGATTGATTGATTGATTATACGTATGTTGTTTAACGTCCCTCTCCAGAATTTTTCAGAATTTTTCACTCACATGGAGACGCCACCACTCGCCGGTGGAGACTGTAAATTTTTGTCCTATACTTTGGCATTTATCGCAATTGAGCAGTGGGGAATCTTTTTTATGCCAGCATCTTCTGCGACAAGGGACCTCGATTTATACGATCTCATCCAAAGGACCGGTCTCCACGTCCCACAGTCGAAGTTCATAATACCGAGATATTTTATTTTTTATTTTATTCTATTTTTTTTCACAAGTTTGTTGCAGCAGATTTACTTAAAGATCATACATCAAGATCATTTCGAACTCAGGCTACTTAATTGCAGTGCATACAGCGTCAAGTGATTTTGATTGACAGGTCAACACACGTGCACTTCGTGTGATACTTTTTAAGCTGAAAAATATACAGGATGTGACCATGACTGACTATGAAATCAGAAAACATCTAATAAAGAATGGGTGTGACCGATAAAGAACTAATTTTTGGTCTGGATCGGGATTAAGAGGGAATCTCCTCTCTCTCTCTCTCTCTCTCTCTCTCTCTCTCTCTCTCTCAGACATGTAAATTGAACATTTCATAATTATAAAATATGAAATTCTGTATACATGTAAATGGTTATGTTATTCACATGTTCCAGATTTAAATCTAAAACGAATATATAATTCAAATTCAAGACGGGGGGGGGGGGGCTTCAAAGGAATTAGATAATTTTATGAATTACAAGGAAAAGTACGGACGTCAGTTGCATGTACATGATTATATATCATTGCATAAAATTGTGTTCATTCAGATATACTTATCCCACATATCAACAGACTTGTACAATTTTTTTATCATGTTTTTTTTTCCCAAAAGAAACATATAGCGTACCATTATTTCACACACTCTTTAACTCTTTGAGTATTTCACAAGAATCCAAGAATCGCCTTTTCACATCTTTTATAATTCCTTGGGTATATAGAGTATAGATCATGTGTCATAAATAATTTAACCTTTTATCAAATATATATGTAATAACCAAATCTAATCTATAGATTGATTTTCTTTCTTTTCAGTGGCAGATATCAATTTATTTATAAAGGCTTTAAAACAGTACTGTATTACAATTTTCTATCGCTTAATTCCTTTTTTGAGTGTATGTAATATTTTTTAATATCGAAAGTAAAACTCGGAAATCGGGATAATTTCGCATTCAGATCATAAAGAATAATAAATCGTCTGCATTATAGAAGGCTTATAACTATCGTATTCTGAACTTAATATACGAAATAGATAAAACTGCATGCCTGTCCATCACTATAAATGTATATTCAGTGCTTATAATATATTTACTTGAATTAGCTACCTAGCATATATATATATATTAATTTTTTTTAGATATATTCATGTGTAAATTAACTAACTGTCAATACAGACTTACACTACACTGGCAACTTCAAACTTTACATGCACTGGAAGCGGTAACCAACGTCCTCTTAAATTTTGAAGAGTGAATATAGAACGTCTAAATATTTTGATATGGAGAGTGTATATGTCTCTAACGTCATCGATACTATTTCCGCCTTTATCTCGAAAGTTCTATTCTCACTTACAAGTCAGAGTTATCTTTCTTTGCCCATTGTCTACACACTAGGTAAATAGGGAAAATGAGGGTACCGAAAATCTGCAAAATGTGGAATCTGATTTCAAAACAAATTATATATTTAGTATTTGTAGAATAACCTCTGTTATACATAATAATATCTTGAAAAAATATTAAAAAACAAAAAAGTTGAAAATTGACCAAACACAAGTTCACTTCCGGTTCGGACAGGAAGTACCGGAAACACACGAAAACAACTTCGAAACAAAGAGAATGTCATGATCTAATACCCCTGTAAATTTCACATCTTTACCTCAAACCGTTTCCGAGAAAAATTCCGGACAAAAGTCCATTTAAAAATTGGAAATTCGGCCGTAACTTCGGTCCGGAAGTGAATTTTTCAAAAAACGGAATTTTATATAAACTTCATATATCAGCCTACTATCATGTGAAAAATTGTGAAAATCTATCCAACCATCTCTGAGTAATCGCGCTCACAAAATTTGGGAGGAATAATAATAATAATAATAATAATAATAAAAAGAAACAATACAATCACTATAAGTCTTCCGTTGTGAACGGAAGACTTAATAATAAAAAGAAACAATACAATCACTATAAGTCTTCCGTTGTGAACGGAAGACTTAATAATAAACAGAAGAAAATCAATAGGTCTTTCCACAGAAAGGTGGAAAGACCTAATAATAATAATAATAAACAGAAGAAAATCAATAGGTCTTTCCACAGAAAGGTGGAAAGACCTAATTATTTAACCCAATGAAAGAGTCAAAAATATGTATTTTATATGACTGCAAATAAGCATGAATATTTTTTGGCCTTGTTTTCTTCCAATTATTTTTTCATAATATTTTATCTGACAAAAAAAGGAATTATCTTCTGTTTTAAGGATGTACAAAAAATCAAAAGAATTAAAATAAAATACAATAGACAAAATCTGAAAATTCAATTAGGCATATAATGCTACTTTTAAAGGAGTGTCAAGCAACAAATGAAAATTCATCATCAATAGCTTTACCTCCAAGTTAAAAAAAAATCAAAGATTATGGAGCAAATCCTAAATGAAAAAAGATCAGTAACATTAAAAAAGTATATCAAAAAGAGAAAGGGGGTCCAATTTGTATTGATTAGGCTGAAATTTAACATTTGGAAATTGGAAATGAGGATGATGTGTATGTAGACAATGGGAGCCAAAGAAGCCAAGAATGATTGTTTTTATTAAATTGGCAATGACGTATTTGTGTGGACATTGATCCCATTTACTACCCTGCTGTAAAGTAAAGGAAATGAAAGAAGGGGGTTCTTTCAAGAGTTTATTAATTATGAAAAAAGAATCAGTTTCTTGAATTTGTGAAATTAAAAAGTTTCACAAATGATTTTTTCAGAATATTGTTTTATCCCTTAACATTCTGAAGAAAATGCACTTAAAATCTCAAAATGATTTACATTTTAAATGACTTAATTTATTAACTGAATTTTATGACAAAATTTTGCTTATTTGTAAGGCTGGTAGCGCACCATACATATATACCGGTATCAGAGTAACGTCCCTTGAAACTAGCAACGTATACACGGTATAGTTTCCATATGTATTTCAAGATTTAGTGAGTAAACAAAACAATTTCAAGCTTATACATTATTAAAACACATGTTTTTTTGTTGATGAGTGACATTTATTATTCACAATGTTAAGTGTTTATAAGTGGAGTAATTTTGTTTTCAACCTTCATCTATAAGTACACCGGTACCGTAGAACCCCGGCATAAGCAATTATGGATAACCTAACCTTGACAAGTACAGTATCGTTTCTATTTATAACATTGACGTCTTGTTTCATATTCATTACACGGAGTATTTTTCCTAACATTTAGTAATGAAAATAACCGACACGTTACAATAAATTGTTATAAAGTTAAACATTATCGAGAAAAAACTGAAAGATAATCCAAAAAATTATGTTGGTGATTTACCATGACTAATAGATTATAATATCCAAATACATGCAATGCTGTTATGTTGTCATATATTATTTCAGTTAAGACAGTTGTAGACTAGTCATGCCATCATAATATCTACCTTTATGAAATCCTTTTTTCCATAAGTCATGAACAAATAGACCCTTTGCTGTTTGAACTGACAATAAGGATCCAAAATATGCCAAGGTTTTAAGAATGGAATGAAAATTGTTTCTTGTCGCCTCAAAATCATTTCTAACCTCACGTATTTCCTCACGAAATTCGTCCCTTGTTCCCTTTAATTCATTCTGTATATGACGTTTTTCCTCAGGAAAATTGTTTCCTTTTGGCGCCAATTCCTTTTTGATAAACAGTATATCTTCACGATAATTGTTTCTCAATGCTTCTAATTCATTCTTCATATCCCGTATTTCTTCGTGAAGAATGAAAACAATCCCAATAAGTACCACAGAAAATAGATGTTGATATGATATCATTTTGTTTTAAGACAAGTGTATGGAAGACAGTTTGGCACATTAAAGTCTATACGAAATCTTATTTTTGTCATTGCTGTTTCTAAGTGTCTATATATAAATGTGCTCATAAGTTTGGAGACTTTGAATGGTATAAATTTAACATGTCTTTTAAAATACTGAAAAAATCTGAACCCTTACCAAGAATGAGTTTAAACTTAAATAATAATACCAATTACAAAAGTGTGCACATATTTGTGTCTTATTGTCCTTATTCAAGTAATAAAGGTTTTAAAGTTAATCAATGAAAAAGAAATTCTAAAAACTGTTTAGAAATCGATACCCTAATTATAGACGTTAAATTAATGAGAAAAAAGGAATGGATTAATAAAAAAGAATATGATTTATATGCGTTGTGATATTGACACTATTTACTTACATTTGAAATGGAAACATAATAGAAAAAGTATAATTAAGAGAAAAAGAATGTTGTATATATTTTTTCTTCAGAAATGCAAACCATTGGAGTTTTATATTCCTTTTATCTAACTATCGTTACATTTGTGGAGAAAATAAAAAAATAACAAAGTCAAGCACAAACGAATCTTGCTACGAATGCAGGATGACAATATTCGTCAAAGCTGATTAAGTTGTTTTAAAGGGTAAAAATTAACGGGGCCAAAGGTCTAAGATGGGATGGGAAAAAATATGTTAGTGGATTGTATATGCATTATTGGCAAAAAAAATGGAGGGCTTAAAGTAGATTCTATGATATTGAAGCCATGATCGTCTTTTGAAACAAACGATTGATTGGAGCTATTTTTTTAAATGAATTTTTCATGCCAAATGGCTGATGTTTTTTTTTTTTCTGCAGATACCGGTACGTCTGCATCACCATTTTAATTCCTTGCAAATAATTCTAATATATATTATATATTGAAATAAGTAGCAAAGTCAAAAGTGAAAAGAAAATCAAAGTTATATATGAAATTGAGGCGGTCAGCAAAAGCGAATCACCTTATGAAGTTAAAATAGGGGTTAATGTTCTTACAAAACAACAAAGATTTTGATGCATTGTTTGCTATTCACAATATAGCCCAGTATGCATTGGAGGTATGCCAAAAGATAATTTCTAAGAAATTTGTATTAGGCAAAACAACAAGGCTGTCATTCTGAATTTTAAAGGGGAACTGTAGTTGTAATTACATCCATCAAACAGTTTTATTTTTATGGCAATTACATTCCACAGTTGTATTTTCACTGCTTATTATATTTGTATTCAAAATATCTTAATGAATGATATTCCAAAATGCATCAGGTTAAATCAGTAATCAAAGCATTCTTTGATGATAAAATAAACATTCCTTTAAAAACGGTATTTGATCAAGTACTTTTAAAAGACATTTTGAGTAAAGAGGTTCATGACAAATGAAGGACAGCAGAAAAAACTTTTTTAAAATATTACTACTACTAATAATAATAATGCTTTATTTACAAAAGGAAACCCGATTGGTACAAGGTACTATTTTTCTCCACGGCCTTCTAAATTAAAAAAAAAAGGAATATAAGACGACCTATTTACAGACTTTGGCTAATTATAATTTCCTACACATTACTTGTAAAAACAGTAAAGAATGTTATAATTTTACATTACATGGTAGGTTACTCCATTAATGTAGGTCTAAACATTGAAGAGAGTTTGTAAATAGGATTGTTTGATGCTTTGGAAAACGAAGATCTGAATGCAAGGAAATGGAATCATAGCGATGAAAAACAAAAGCTTAGAGCCCTTGCCCTAAAGTCGCGGAGTAAGTAGTGATCCTAATGTCGCGGGTTCGATTCTCACTATGGGACGTGGAGACCGATCCTTCGGATGAGACCGTATAAACCGAGGTCCCGTAGCCTAAATAAAAGGTTGTAAGTTAGATATTTTACACATTCATTGGTTTGTTCTTTGTTTTTTTCAAATACCAGGTTTACTAAATCTATAACAAAAATCAGTAGGATAAGACATTAATCATGCTAATGAAAATGAAATCTAAATAAAAGAACGTCGCTTGCGGAAAAAAACAAACAAACAGATGAAACAAAGTTTAGGAAATTTTATTTCTTTTTAATATTGTAGGTAAGGTAAACTTACATTTTATTTTTCGTATTAAGGTTAAATTGTTTTTTTTTTTTTCAATTTTAAAACATTAATACAATTATCATATAAAAGAAGAGAAAGAATAACAAATATTTTCATAGTAATACTTTACTCGCCATTTTTACCTTAAATTAATATGATCATACATTCAACTTCTCGGGTTACAGACACCAAACATCGGGATCACTGGCACAGAAAAGTTGACAGAGTTAACGTATACAGTTCTCTTCCACTCAGGAGATCACTAAAGGTTACATAACTGTGTACTCCACTTACAATTACATCGAATCCAAAAGCGAATGTAGTTCCTTCAGTACAGGAAAATAATATAGTTTCCTATTAACAGTTGTTGATTCTCAAACAATTTAGTATCACATGTGGCATACATACTCAAACAATATGGCAATAGTCTCTATAATAAAATATATCAAACTCTTCATCACAAAACGCCACATAAAATATAAAATCAGACCTTCTACATGTCTATGAAAGTTAGAATCCTAGAAATTATTTACCATCATACTAATAGCCCATCACTGAGTACACCTTTCCATAAACAACGAGATGAATACTGGATTAGAAAACTAGGCACGGCCTTCCTATATGGTAGCTATGACAATGTCAGTAGTGTCTGGAAACAGTGTAGCAATGTGAATGTGATAGGACTTTTGAACAGTACACAGAGACGTAAGCGTAGTAATGAACATCAATCTTAAAATAAAAGTATTATACACGATGTCTCCTTTGATTCACTACTACTAAATGTAAATAAACAGTTAGGCCTTCATCACATTCGCACCAAAGTTTACTCTGTTCTTTTGAAATTTTTAAATAGTCTATTTGTAAAATTCAAGGAAAGTCCATATTTGGATTCTTTGACACCAGATTACAGGCTCGGATCTGTGATTATGGATATTGCAAATCATAGGGTCTTTAAACCGCCACTTTTCACGGGAGAAAATACTGCTCAAACAACCCGTTTGTTCCTTAAACTTCAATATGCCAAGAAAGGAATTGAAGAAGTTAATATAAGTAATATTCTTAATTACAAAAAGGTCCAGTCTTGTATTTCATTATATATTTAACACCCCCCCCCCCCCCGCTTGAAAAGTGGGAGGGTATATAGTGATCGAGATGTCCGTCCGTCCGTCTGTTACGCTTTGGGGTACCCATCTCTTATCCGTAACTCCTCTTATACCACTGAATGAAATTTAATGAGACTTCCACAGAATCTTTGTTACATAGTGCCATTGTGACCTCTTATTTTACTTTTTGATCTGACACTTACTTCGGGTCTCCCAGAGCAAAACATGGACTTTGCCATTATAATCATATGGGAGGCGGAGAGTATCATTTAGTGAGCTCAGTGCTCACAGTACCTCTAGTTCAAGTTGACGTCCACACTTGTATACACACATACATCGACAATTACTTCCAAATTTTTATATTACCAAAAAAAAAAACTCTACATTGCTTAGATATCGAACTTCTGAAGCATAATCCTTCAACATGTTCATGCTCTTCTTCAACCTACAACTATAGTCCTGCTGGACACTTAATTACGGGTGACGTTGATATACATGTAATTAATAATGAGAGCCTTAAATCACTTATTGTAAAAGGGCCAATACTTAGGGAACCCCGATCTTTCAACTGGCGGCATACTTTCATAAATATTATGAATTCTGTGGAAGCTTTCACCAGACGATGGGCCAAATATGAAACCAGCCAAATATGAAAAAAGAAGACCGTGACACGTTGTCAGAATGGAATAAAAGTATCAGTACAAACAAAGATACATAGCGTGTTGCAGTAAATGTTCTACCAAGCCTCTTTCTTTACTCTTCAGTAAAATATTTACAGCAATGAAGGAGAAACTTCAGGAATACTGTACAACAGTATATTCGAGAAGTGGTGTAAATCAGATGTGGATACTTAAGAACTCCAAGGAACTTAGAGAAAGTTTGAAATCACAAAATTTTACCAACATCAATAACATCAAAACATACAACTTTTCAACACTTTATGTAACCATTTCCTACCATAAATTATATTCCAGTCATTTTGACATCATAAACAGCCGCTTTTTCAATAAAAAAAAATGGAACTCGTTAATATAGTTACCTTGTCAATGGGCATTTGCAAAATTATTTTGTTAAAAAGCATTCTGATTGTACACACAGGTACTCTGAAGTTGATATTAAAAAGATGCTTGAGTTTATTATTGACAATATCTAATTTAGTTTTTGGAGATCGGGTATTTTATTGCGCCCCGTTATTAGCAGATCTATTTTGCAATTACCTGAAGCAGAATTGATTCAAAAACTTCTACATGAGAAGAAGAAAACGCTCGCTGTGGCCTTCAACTTGACATTTAGATATATCGACGACGTCGTGTTATCAATTAACAATAGTTCCTTTCATTCATATGTCGATTCGATACATCCCAGTAAACTTGAAATAAAAGACACCACAGAGTCTGACATATCTGTTTCATATTTGGATATTTTACATGACGTTGATGGAAACCTTATAACAAAGCTTTATGATAAACGCGATGACTTCAACTTTTAATCGTCAACTTCTCTTACCTATGTAGAAATATACCCTTATAACCTGCATATGGGGTTTATGTCTCCCAGTTGATTCGATACTCAAGAACGCGCTCTACATGCGATCAATTTTTAGCTCACCTCGACGAAGTCGAGATGAGCTTATGCTATACCGTCGGCGTCGGTGTCGGCGTTAGCGTCGGCGTCCCAGGTTAAAGTTTTAGGAGCAAGTCCCATTCCCAAGTAACTATAAGCCCTACCTGGACCAAACTTGCATGGATGATGCATCTAGGGATGGACACTACCAAACTTGCTTCGGATGCT